AATAAAGAAGAAAGCTTCACTTTATTTGTGAGAAGTAATGTTCCATATGACTAACGATCATTATTTCCCACGTGGCTAACGATCATAGCGTTCCATTACTATTTATGCTTCTAGCACGATGATTGCAAGCAACGTGGGAATACCGGAAGTTGTCGGCAGGACTAACCCCCACCAAAGGTGCTGCACCCAAGCGCAGCGCTGCTTAAGCGAATGTGCTGCCAGCAAGAAGAATAGTGCGCTCTGATCGAAATTTATAACAGTTGCGCATTGGTACTGCGCGCAATAAAGCTTTTAGGGTCTATCGATAGATCTATGATCTATCGATAGAAATTGAAAAAATCATTTAATTACATTACTGCTGTAAACAGATGTTCAAGAGAATTGATTTTTTAAAATTATCGGCATGTCAACGCACTTTGAACACAAAACTTAAAGGAGAACTCAAGATTCCTAACTGGGGTATTCGCTAATAAGTGGAAAAAAGACTCAAAATTCTCAAAAAGAAAAAGAAGTAAAGGAATTTAAATAGTCTAAATGAAGAAACTATAATCAGTAGTTCTTAGGGAATCTCTACAAAAAATCTGTAATAAATAAGTTAGCGTTGATTTGAAGCCCTAGTTGACAGCAGAAGATAATAGTAATAAGGACGAGATCAAGGGTTTCGTTGTTCAAAAAGAACTACATATGACAACATCAATCAAATATTTTGTGCTAACTATTATGAAATTTTCTTTTATTCAGCAAGATATCACACTTCTATATTTATACCTTTACATGCGAACAAAGTACAGTTTCGAGATCTATATTTAGTCTTGGAAACAAAACTTGCAGTCAGCGAAAGTTTTCAGAGATTAAAAGAAGTGTTCTCAGATGTGTGATTTTTACCACTGAATACGGTAATTTTCGGTAAGTTTGCACTTTCATAGCTATGTCATTGCACGAAAACATTATTTAATAATGACATTTCTAACTGCGTGAGTAGTTTCACACAATTAGACACGAGGTGAAGAGCATGGGAAGCCTAAATATATTCGAATCGCACAGAGTCACATGACAGTGTGAAGGGCTTTACCAGAACTGCGTGGAATTGCACAAAACCCATGATTATGCGTGAGGAAACCCAATA